AGCCCCAATTCAAGTTTACCCTAGACAAAATTGTTTCGTGAAAACTGATAAGAATTTTATAAAAATCCTACTCAATTCTTATATAAGATTTTCCAAGATCACTTGTGTTGATACTGTATATTCATCTATGAAACAAATTCACTCTAAAATCAGTTTAATCGATACAGTACTATCTTACTTAAAACCTATTTGGATTTTCAGTATAAAGCGACCGTGGTCGTAAGTGGAGTAATGCATTTGACATCGAGAGGAAATCTGCTCAAAATTCTTGGGTGACTGCTTCCAGGCACATTCTTCCAAATTTGCATCGACTAAAAGTCGGCAACTTTTCTCTGTGCTAGTTCTCCTCTTTAAATGAACCGAGATGCAGACCTGTAAAGTTTTCTCGAAAATCGGTTTTTCAGAGAATATACAGTATCAACACAAGTGATCTTGGAAAATCTTATATAAGAATTGAGTAGGATTTTTATAAAATTCTTATCAGTTTTCACGAAACAATTTTGTCTAGGGTAAACTTGAATTGGGGCTATGTTTATCAGCGAAGAGAATTATTCAAGAAAAGAGAAGCAACCTTATTTATTTTAGCAAAAATCGTCACAATACATTTTTTGGAGTTTAGATGAGTATCTTATTATCAGCCCAGAATTAGTAGAACAAGAAAATGATTATGTTGTTCTGGATTGGAATGAAGAAATACAGTACGCTACTATTCGAAATGAACGATGGTACAAATAAAAAGCCAGTAAGAACCTTGTTTAATCAAAACTTTTTTATTTTCCAACAAATCGAGCTGACTCATTACATGTTGGTTGAAGTTGAACAAATATGACAATAATGACAACAAGAAAAAACGAACAAAACATTAAAAAAAAAGAAAGAAAAAGAGAGAAGAGAAAGAGATAAGCAAAAGTGTTGTAAAATTAGAAACGAATTTATCTTATCAAAAAGGAACCGTTTTATCTCTCGTTTCAGGAGTCTTCAGGGATCTGCAGGGAAGTACAGTTCTACTTTGGTGGGAAAAGAAGGGTCGCACATCATTGGCTCTGGTGAAAAAATTCTGCATCATTCAAAAATTTTAAAACAGAAATATATAGGATTTTAATTTTATCTTTTTCGAGATAAATCATGGGACTATCGAACGGCTTAAAAAGAATCTGAAAACCCTCGGTTTTATAGAAATCTTCCGAAGTAAGAGAATATTTTATACTATACTCACCCACAGAAGCTCTTTGAGCAGATAAGACAGAGTATATCTTGATATTCTAACATAGTTTGAATCGATTCTGACTGAGTTATGAATTTTCTAATTTGACATGAAAATAGGCAGAAATGGGTTATTTCACCTAGTACAAG